ATATATATATATATATATATATATATATATATATATATATATATATATAGGGTTTAGGGTTTAGGGTTTACAAGGGGCCAGGGTTTTATTTTGTGGGGTTAGGGTTTAGGGTTTATCTGTCGTTTCCCTTTAGGGTTTAGAATTTAGTTTTAAAGTTTAGGGTTTAGGGTTTAGGGTTTAGGGTTTAGGGTTTGTGACTGGCTCAGGCTTCTGGGGACTTGTCTGCCAAGCAGCTGTGCAATATCGTCCAAATGTATGGAGACGAACCCTTGACGAAAGACGAGGCGAAGAAATTCACTGAGTCAGCGAGGGTTTAGGGTTTAGGGTTTACGAGGGTTTACGAGGGTTTACGAGGGTTTACGAGGGTTTAGGGTTTACAAGAGTTTACGAGGGTTTACGATGGTTTACAAGGGTTTACAAGGGTTAGGGTTTATGAACAGCTTCAAATCTACATACGTCATGCCAAGCTCAGATGGGGCTGTCTATCCCCCAATATGTGCATGCATGCATACATGCATGCATGCATGCATGTATGTATATATAATATGCATGCATGCATGCATGTATATATAATATGCATAAATACATGCATGTATATATAGTATGCATGCATGCATGCATATATAATATGAATGCATGCATGCACGTATATATAGTGTGCATGCATGCATGCATATATAATATGAATGCATGCATGCACGTATATATAGTGTGCATGCATGCATGCAAGCATGCATGCATGCAGATATGATATGCATGCATGCATGCATGCATATATAATATTTGTTGTGTGTGGATGTTTTATAGGATAGTGATGGGGACAGAGAAGGTGCTGCCCATTAACGTCGTTGTAGACAGGTCAGCTGCTGTCTCCTTTTTTGTCTCCTATTTTGTCTCCTTTTTGTCTCCTTTTTGTCTCCTTTTTGTCTCCTTTTTTGTCTCCCTTTCTGTCTCCTTTTCTGTCTCCTTTTTTGTCTCCTTTTTGTCTCCTTTTTTGTCTCCTTTACTCTTTTTTATTTCTCCCTTTTCGTATCTTTTTGGTGTCTCCGTTTGTCTTATTTCATTTGTCTCTTTTTTGCTTGTTTGTGTATTTTTATATTTCTGTCTCCTTCGGTTTGTGTCTCCTCCTGCTGCTTTCTGTCTCCTTTTTCTGTTGTTTGTCTTCTCGTGCTTCTTTCTGTCTCCTTTTCGTGTTCACTGTCTCCGTTTGTTGTTTATTGTCTCCTTTGTTTGTCTCTCTGTTTTAATATCTTTGTTTATTTTTATTTTTATTTTTTATTTGTATTTGTTTGCATGCAGGATAATGGAGGGCCAAGTCTGATTGATGGTTTGGGGCTTTGGAGGGTGAGGGGGTCTGCAGTAGCAGCAGCAGCAGCAGCAGCAGTAGCAGCAGCAGCAGCGGCAGCAGCAGCAGTAGCTGCTGCTGCAGCAGCTGCAGCACCAGCAGCAGCGGCAGCAGCGGCGGCAGCAGCAGCAGCAGCGGCAGCAGCTGCAGCAGCGGCAGCAGCGGCAGCAGCAGCAGCAGCGGCAGCAGCTGCAGCAGCGGCAGCAGCGGCAGCAGCGGCAGCAGCGGCAGCAGCTGCAGCAGCGGCAGCAGCTGCAGCAGCGGCAGCGGCGGCAGCAGCAGCAGCAGCTGCTGCTGCTGCAGTTGATTTATTGGGGCTGCATGCAGCTGCAACAATAAAATTATTTGAGTTTATAACAAAACCTCTCAATGCCTTTGATATTTCATCATACAATAGATAAGAGACAGAGGAGACAGAGGAGACAGAGGAGACAGGAGACAGGAGACAGCATAAATATTTTTATTGTTTTTGTTATTTTTTCTTTTTTTTTTTTAGTTGGGGAGAGCATACACAGAGACATATTACATTCTGTCTCCTTTGTCTCTCGTAAGTCCTCTTAGCCTCTAGGGTTTAGGGTTTAGGGTTTAGGGTTTAGG